AAGGACGTTAACAGGTTGTCTTAGAAACACACTTGCAGCGTTCACTGGTCACCGATCTAGCAAATGTGGTTGCAGAAAACAAACTCAGAAGTTACTGGAGAGAGGATGGATTTATAGATATGTACATAAGCAATGTGGAAACGTGTAATTTTGTATCAGTGATTTTGATACCTGTCTCACAGAAATGGTTTTGATTTCATTCCAAGAAACTACTCTGGGAAGAGTTAATAGAACGGGCAGCAAATTGAACCACTGCAGCTCCTACTCAGTTTGTGTTGCCTCAGTGTTTGCAGGTCCCAGGGGCTGTATTTATGTGACCAAATCTCTGAAAGTTACTTCTACTTGCTTCTTGTTTATCTGAGTCCAGGCTTCTTCACTGATGGCCCAATGAAACATCAAATCCTTCCTAGATCCTTCAAACCTCACCTTGGCAGATTTGTATTACTGGACATCGTATCAACAGCTTCCTGACATTAAGACAGAAATTTGCGATCTGTTAATACCATCCTTGAGGTTTATGCACTTTTTGACTTCACAGCTGCACTCATAGGAACAGGCTAAACATACCTATGAGCACATTTTGAACAGGTAGAACTGTATTTTCCAAATCTGTCTACCTAAAATGAACCACCACAAAAAGGGACAATTTCCAAAATTTCAGCCTTGATTAACAAACAAGACAGTAATTTAGCAGTCAGGCTGATACAAACTAAACTGAGCTAAGTCAGAAATGCGCTACTGGATTTTTCCAGTTATTACTGAATTCTCCAGTTTTATTTACTATTTTCAATATGATAAATACATTCTTGAACACATGTATGCAAGCATAAAAGTGATGAAATGCAATTTTCTCCTTTCTTTTAATCCACCAGATGTTATTACCATGAAAAGAAACACCAAGAACCAAGAGAAGTGCCTTGGAAACCAACAGGGAAATAGAACTTATTACCTTTATAACATATTCCATTGTGAACAAGAGATTTATTTTTGCAGATTGACAGACTACTTCCCATAATTCTTTTAACATGCATTTTGTATGTCATCAACAGTTTGCAGATTGACATTCTTTACAGTAGCATAACTGCCTCTAGTACTTGATGCTCCATACTTAAAAACACACTTTACAACTGATGTGTAATGCTGCCAAAAATTATGTAAACACAAATATTTCACCAAGAAAATTGATGTTCTATTGCTTAATTCTACAATTCTAAGGAATGTTTGTTTGTATATCTAGAACTACTAAAGATCTGCTCCACAGTAGTTGTGGTCACTTGATATCCTTCGTGCTTATGCAATTTTTTAAAAGTTTGGTTAAAACAGACTTACATTGGGGTCACATTGTACCCTAGGAGTACAAATTGCATGACAAACAGGAACGTAATTCCAAGTAGACATATTTTTTGGGACAGTGGAGCATGGATTTTGTACACAAACACAAGCTGCCATTAATTTACTTTCTATAATAAACGTATAAAACATTCCAGCGAACGTGCAATATGTAAATACTGTAAATAACAAGCGCAAGTAATAAAGTGTTTGGTATTAAGTTGTCCTCAGTTTGCTTTCTGTTCACTGAATCCAGAATTTGATAAACAAGCTATCTTCTGGTAGCTACTATCATTTATCCACGCTTAAGCCTCTTTCCAGTAAGAGTCTGGTAGAGTAAGAAAGAAAGGTACACGCACCTCAGAGAAGTCCAGTAATTTGGACACTCCCTATGGATTTGTGAGGACGGACAGATCTGTGTGTTCCAGTCCCGCAAAATGCCCAGACCACAAGGCTGCTCCAAGTCTCTATAGCATTATGAATTTGAATATTTTTTTATGACAAATGCTTGTTTGGGTTTTTTGCCAAAAAAAATCTGCCGTCTATTCATGATATTGCAAGGCGATACAATCAGTAAATGTCCAATAAATCATTTTAGTACCATAAAACTGTTGAGTCAGTGAACACTTACTCAGGAAGCCTTGATATACATTTCCCTTTCTTCCTTAAATCAGGTATTAAATCCAGTTGTCACAATAAAATGGCTCAAACAGGAAGAAAAATTTTATGTGTGATCTGTAGATGAACCTCGGGTACTTTTATCTTAATATTGGCATTTAGCTTCCAGTTTATCCTCAATTCAAACTACAAAATGTAAAAACAAAACCAAACACACCCCTCCCCACCCTCGGAAATAGCTAGGAGCTGGGATTCTTGAGATTCCCACTTAAGAGCCTTCAGCATCTAGGTCTTTAGAAGAAAAAAGAAAAAAACGGCAGAAGTACAAAATCCCATCCTAGAACACGGCTGTATTTAGTACGGGAGAAGTGCATATTTTGTATTTGCTGTCAGTGATCACTAAATGCTAAAGTTTCATTTCTCAATGGAAGTAATACATGTATACCGAAAAATTGGTAGTTAAAGGAATCTATTGCTACAGGATTCACTTAGCTGCTCATCTGCAGTAAACACGTGGATGGAACACTCTGCTTCTCTGGGGTTCCACTGACTGAAATCTGATCACAGCACATTACTTAACATGGGAGTTTAAATTAGTATAAATCTTTCTTTTTGCAGAAGGACACCTGAAATCTGGTTAAATAAAAACTTTCTAGAACATTTCCTTGTAAAAGGAAAATAGTAATTTATTTAATGACTTAATACATTAATATAAATAAGTTAATCCCATGGAAGTTTTCTCTAGATTTAGGAGAAGTCAGCATGCTTTGACAGAAGATACAACTATACTATAGCAGATTTTTAATTTAGTCTTAGGTATAAGCTTACTACCTAAACTAAAACAAGCTGTGGTGGGGCAGAGGGGGAAGGAGGCATCAGTTCTGTATTTTTTCATTCAACGTTACATTTTTCATGAGTGGTATTTTAAGCCTGTAAGAGCTTAGTCATCTGTACAATACACGATTTGTGTATTAATCCTATGTTCACTGTTCCTCTTGGAACCCAAATCGCAGTACTGTGCAACTGTCCTTCCTGAAGGCAATTCCTGTTCTGTATTCTTGTATTCTACAGGTTCTTTTAGAACACCATGGCGCTCTCCTTCCCCTCCTCCAAAAGAAACCCACTAAGGATAAAATCAATCAATCAGCTTTTTCCTGCTAGTAGAGCTGGTGAATTATTTAGCCAATAGATTACTTGCTGAAAATATACCTCAAGGCTGAAACTTTTAAAATCTGAATCCGAACTGAATTTAACACAAATAGTTTTGACTGAGTATCACTTTACCGGAAGATTACTAAGCCTAGTGAAGGTAAACAACCATACCCTTTTATCTCCTTTCTGTTACCCCAGCAGCTCAAAGATAGATTTAAGACTTTCAAATCTTAACTTTAGTATGCAGGAAATGATAGGTTCAATTCCTATTCAGCCATGAGTGGGAAAGCACTAACCATCACGTTCTCAGTCTTCTGAGTTATTTTACTTTCACCGGAATATTTTAAATGGTCATTCTGGCAGAGAGTAACATTAGATTACACCTAAATACTTCCACTTCTGAGGTTAGTGCATAAAACCACATTTAAGATGGTTTGTCCCTAACTGCCCATCATTTTCCCTCATTTATTTTGTCAAAGCAATTTTTTCCAGATTAAGTGCTTGATCTGACCTGAAATATTATATATATTATTCTTTGTCCCTGAAGTGAAACAACCATTAACTTGCAAATTCCTAGCTTGTTCTTTAAAAGTCAAAACTATTGGTAATGCAATAATGCACAAAGATCCTGATTTCTGTATTTAAGCATTCCCTCTACCACTTGCCTTTTTGTAAGCAGGTTCTTAAGTTTTATGTCTGAAATTTTAGCACAAAACAGAAACCTCATTAACACAAACACAGCTATCCTACAGCAAGAGTCCCAGGAAACTTAATCCCCGTTGTGCAGGCTGCAGCACACGCAGTGACAGCAGGATTCCTCCCTCCCCAGGAATAACAGGGTCCTCTATCGAATCGCATCCCTCTTCCAGAAGGGAGAGTGGGTGACAAATACAGAGGCTACTCTGCTAGTTTGGAAGGCAGACAGAGGCAAAAACAAGGCTAAATAAATAAGAAAAAGTTTTACAGATCGTGTGGTAATGCTAGTTCATACCAATGTTGGTACTGTTCAAAATAGGAAAATTGTCATGGTATCAGTTACATTACTGATCTCAGTACATTTATGTTTTTAAGGCAGAAATGAAAGGTGATGTTCAGACAAACAGGCATGGATTTTTACAAAGCATCCAATTTTTGTCCAAGAGCAGAATTTTCTACTTACTGGCCTTCTGTTAATTTTGTATTATATTACAGATGGCCTCTCCAGGTTGAACTATAGTCTCAGAGAACACTTTTGACAGGCTATCCATTCTCCTGAGTAAATCTGAAAATATTGTCTGACACCCACATAGGAACTGGTATTACAGCAAATTTCTCATTGATTATATTGCATGGATTTGAGCATTTTACTACTATGAGATACAAAATGTACATTGCACATTTAGGCTTTTAAGCTGACCTGTTTTGTCCTCAAAGTAAATGCTATGTTACATCTCCTTGTATCAGTGTGCTAGGAATTGACCACAAGACCAAAGGAAGACTGGCCAGAGAAGTCCTATTAACATCAATCACTATTTCTGAACCGAGTTCATCTTAATTAGTATAAAAATCTACTAGAACAAAAATTATTTCTTCTTTGAATAACTGAGCATTTAAACTGATATAAAAACCCATTTCACAGGATCCTGATGACACACACAGAGGTTTTGCTTGCTTAAGCTTTGAAATAGTGCTAAGAGCAATGTCTGTCCGGGAGCAGGCAGTTCTTTTAGCCTAGCAGGCTCAATACGAAACGGCTTCAGTCCAAAGGCTGTCTAACGATACTAGGATGACATGCCTAAGTTACCGTACATGAACTATTATCTCACAGACTCCCACTGAAAGTTGATTTAAATTAACTCACTAAGGGCACAATGAGAAGACCTCAGTTTAGTTAGTATAGCACATAAAGAAGCGAGACATTACTTTTGCAGCGCTTGTGAGAAAGCACTGGAAGAGTTCACAGATAAATTTATTCTGAATGATATACTTTATTATTACATTGATGTGTGACAAAATGATTGATCATCTAATCCAATTAAAACTTTTCTATATTTTTTAATTAGATGACAGAAAAGCTAAAATATAAAGTTAAACTGAAAAAAGTTTTGAACCTACTGAGGCATAATTTTACTATTTAAATACATCAATCAAGTAAACCTTACGTATTTCAGGAGAAGCTAATTATTTTCTTTTAGAAATAAAATGATGAAGCATTAATGAGACTTCTCCAAAAACGCTTTACAGCATCTAACACACTGCTCGTAAACAGTTTCAAAGTCCTTTTCATTCCCCTAGAAAAGAACAGAGGAAAAAGAACGTAAGAATAGCAATACTGGCTCAAACAAAAAATTTTTGCAAACTAGTTTCCCGCTGTCAGTAATGGCAAATAACCGACATTAGGGAAGAATAAGAACAGTACAAATACTTGGTGATAGTTTTTGCATACTTCTTCCTAATTTGAACTACCTGCAGCTCAGGAATTTCCACAGCCAAACACTGTGACTTTGTACTCAACAGTCCTGGATGAACTTCCCTTCACATATTTCTTCCATTCACTTTTTAAGCCCTTATAAGCCTTTTCTTTTTTTCTTATATTCACAGTAACTCGTCATGTTGAGTTTCACAGTTTAATGAAGCACTGTGTGGGGAAAAAAACAAACAAAAAACCACCACCTCTTTTTGTTTTGAACCTGCTTCCCACTAATGCCATTTGATATTCTCCACTTCTTGGGTAATGAATAGCAATTCCTTATTCACCTTTTCCCATGACATCAACGTTTTACAGAACTCTACTGTGTCTTCATCCACTTTTCTTTCCTAAACTGAAGAATCTTAATCTAATTGGTTGCTCTTGTCTGATATTATTCAACTTCTTTGACCATCTCTGTTGTCCTGTTTTCAGCTGGGATAGAGTTAATTTTCTTCCTAATAGCTGATATAGTTAAACCATGACATCTGTCCATGTCTTTGTTCCATCTTTCCTGATTACATCCTCTTTGCAAGGAGGCTGACCAACCAGAGCTTAACCCGATATTGAAAACATAGGTGCACTGCATTATTTAAATTTAAATAATTGTTATAAGCATAAAGACATGTTTTCCTTTCCTATCCCAATAATTTATATTGTTTTGTTAAGTCATTTCAAAAAATGTTTACACTTGGCTTTGTATAACATCAGATTATGTGTCACATGTCAACTGTGGGATCTGGAAAGATGATATACTATACATACACAATTTTTCATCAAGCCACCCAAAGAATTTCTTACACATACATAGTACGGATCTTCAATGATAAGTTGTTTCTGTGGATCATAAGTTCCAAGTAGTTCAATTTTGGCCTTGCAGTCTTTAACTTGGTTGCTTTTCCTTTTCAGATCTCTGTAAAAGAGAAAATAAAATTTTCCCATGAATTTTTCTTCAGAACTTTCTTGGCATCAGCATGAGACGCTCATGACCGTTTCTAAAGAACACAGGAAAATAATATGTGTCTGGACTCAGTCAATTCTGTGGACTCTCTATGCTGCTGCTGCTTGTTTTCATTTGTTTCTTGTTGTTTTTTTTTTAATTGAGTATGGAGGACATATACATAAACTTAATTCAGAGCATTAACAAGCAGTCAGGCACTTGACCTAAGGCTTAACAGAACTTTGTAAGACTAAGTTCATCAACTTCTTCCTCAAATCAATCATTAGTACTTTCAATATCCACCTTTAGCTTGTATTGAACAAAAATAGTGAAAATTATCTAGATATTTTTCCAGAAGTATGAGTAAGCTTCTCCCATCTCTTCAAAACCAGTGTTTTAAACTGGTGTGCTGCAAGTTCTCTCAATACGGCCTCTAACTCATGTGAAGTCCTGCTACATTCACTTAACAGAAAATGGTGAACAGGTGAGCAAGACCTGTCTTCCCTTTGACATACTATAACATTTCATCAGTTGTCACATCCTTTCTTCTACATTGCCTCTCATTGATAAAACATACTGGTTTTGAGATGGTATTTTACCCATCTTCTTACGACTGTCCATTATCCCAAATGCAGTTAAAATGTACCTCTCATCACCTTCAGATTAAAAGCGGCTCAGTACAACTTTCACAATGCTGAACAGCCAGAACATATTAAATTATTTTAATATTACACATCTCCATACCAAATCATCATTTTGCTTACCCAGCATTAAAAAAAGGCAAAAAACCCTGTAAATACTTACAGTCATAAGCATAATCAGTTTTAAGAAATTAGATTCTATTAATTAATTCTGATTAAGAAATTAATTTCAGACCATTTAGAAAGACAAAATAGCAGTGAGACCACAATACTGTTTTTCCTTGAAGAAAACTCAGGACTCCTCTATCAACCCAGAAGTTATTACTTGAATTTACAGATTTTCGATAAATTCTCTAGCCTTTTATTATTAAAAAAATGTCTAACCATTTCCTTCAAAGCTTTTAGCATACCACTTAATGAACAGGAGAGGGCCAGGTGGCTCTGGTACTAAGGAAAAGGGATGTCCCAAATCTTCCTTTCCTGATATGACAGGCACTCCATCAACACGTGGCATCAGCTTGCCCTCCTAGTGCTACGAATGGGCATTCCCAGAGAAAATGGTTGAATTGGGTGCAAGTTTGAGGTGAAGCTTAAGTGTAGCAGTAGCAATATCCCTATTATAGTTGTGATGTTTCTTCTGCTCTACAGCTCATATCATATGAATTGTTAATACAGCAGTAAGTTTTCATTTAAGAATTCAAGTGAAAATAGAAGTAAGCCTAGTCACATCTTTGCCTGACCCACTGCAATCAAGCCAAGTGTTATATACCCTTCATTCATGCAGGCTGTGTAAGAGAGGTCATTCAAAACATTCTAGAAAATTCAACAAAATGATACTCCTTTCAGGTAAGTGGTGCTGCTTCTAAAAGTCCTTACGTGCTACTAATAGGGTTTTATTTGGTTTTTGTTTTGTTGTTGGTTGTGGTGTTTTGGAGGTTGTTTTTTGGTTTTTTTTAACTAACTTCACAAGTAATAGTCCTTACAAGCACTTTGACACTTGTAGTTTATTAGAGCTCAGCCCTTTAACCCCCATCATCAATATGTATGTAATTAAGCAGAAATTTTGCTAATTATATCCAAATTTTCATACTAGGCAGCTACTTCACCAAATCTTTCTTGGGTATAAATTGTCTCAAAGACACACTTAATTAGAACATGGCTAACAGTAACAAATAAGATTTCCCCTGGCTAACAACCTTACTTATTTCAGAGCTCACTCTATTTCTATTTAAAAAAAAAAAAAAAAAAAAAGAAAAAACCCCACACCTTATTTAATCCCTTCCAAGTTTCCACAGTGTCTTTTAGATCCTATGCAATTAGAAAAACAGATCCCTTTGATCAAAAGACAATATGTCCTCATTCTTAACTATACAGGCATAAGCTGCACATCTATAGCACAAAGTATACTAAATTTCCATGTCCTTAATCCCCGAGTGGCATGTATCACACAAATAAACCACTGAATTCTAGCTCATTAAACATACTGGAAATAAAGAATCCATCTATTAGGATTAAAAACACACACACGTACAAAAAAAAAAAACCCAAACCCCAAAACAAGCTAAGCAGTAAAACGTGACATCTGTCTTCAAAGTGACTTATGAGACATCACTACAAGTAATCCATATGAATTTGTTCCATTTCTTCATACATTACCTTAGATTGCTCTCATCCATACATAGTATATAATCAAAGGTCTGGAAATCATCTTTAGTAACCTAGAATTAAAAATATGTGCTTTAGCCTACAAACTGTGTTTGATTTATAAAAGGGGAAAAAAAGTATTTTCAAATTTTATAGTTCTGATTTATTAAAAGATACACAGGTGGGAAGAACAAAGCTGTGAACCTTCATCAACTTTTACAATAATTAAAGGCATTTTAAATAGACTCTGCCATGATTATTTATCCATTTCTGCAAGTTTTCCACAAAAATCCCAAGTTAGCTATTTTACCATATTTTTTTTAAAAAACATCTCATGCATCAACTTAGAAACATCATTACAAGCGACCTTTCTAATGCTTTCCAATTACTAAAACTAAAGCAGGTTTCAGTCGTAGAAACCATGCAATAAAAATGTAGACAAATTACTTTCCTGATAGGAAAACAAAAATGTAGGTAACCTGGAATCAGTTTCAATACTTCCAATCTAGAAATTTGTCACTACACAGAAAAAGATACCAAGTGAAATTCAAAGCTGAAGTACGATGGTATGAGTTACAATCTCTTAAAAACAAATGCATTCACAGTATTTTAGGCCAAAGTTCAAAGAATTTATGATATGATGTGAAAAAATCTGGGATCTATTTTACATCTTCCTACCATCATACTGCCTGCTCTTTTTCTTTCCTGTAGCTTACTGACTCCTAAACATGAATATTAACTAAATTCAGAGATCCGAGTTCAGAGTCAGGTAGGAAAACATTGCAGATAAACCACTAACTTAAGAACTAATGTTATCTGTATTGGAATAAGGATGGCTGTAGATTCTTACCATTATAATTGTATGTTACATTTAAGCGCTAGCTTAGGGTATAATCTTCCCAGAGCCCACAATGCACAGTATGCTAGTATATCTGAACCAAGTGGCCATAATGAGGATGACTAAATGGAATAAAATCTATAGTGAGTTCACATTAAGACTGCATTTCACGCACAGTCCTATGTGTAGTATCACAACCAAGAAACTTGGAAAGTTTGTTCAGTACAGGCTTTTCTGGCAGGAGTCTCTGGGAAGGATGGGCTGAAGAAGTGAGTAAGCAAGTAAACAGACAAAAAGGCAAAACACATTATCCTAGAAGTCAGAGTTGTAACTTGTAAAAATTATTTACATATTCAAAAAAAGTTTCAGATGGCAAAAAACCCACTTTTTTTGTGTAAACAGCAAATAGATACTGATTAAGCTCCTGTAACAGAGAGTAAGAAAAGACCTATAGAAATTATCACCAGACTAAAGCCATAAATGAAACATTGCACACAAGGAGAATTGGAGGGGTGAGATGGGGGGGGGAGCATTCGAAAAGAAAGGGTTAATGGCAAAAACTAATGCAGACTTGTTTATTTTCACTGTAAAAATATTTTTTATATTCAGGCAGTGCCTTTGACCTATGAAAATATTTTTGCAGTGGAAATAGCTCTGTTTTCCTGGCAACTCTAAGCAGTACCTCTACAAGCTGCTTCTGGTTGCTCTACACAGCTGAACACTGGCCCCCGTGAAAATACATGGGCATAGATTTCTCTGTAGTACAGACATATGTAAAAGTAAAATACAAAACAGTGAAAAGGAAAAACACACCTGCCACACTTCCCACACTCTCAGTGTACTTGACAACTTAACAGTTACTATCCTATGAACCAGCACTAACACAGATGCAAACGCGGCCCTAAAAACAAGATTACTGGTTGGCTTGGGCTCTTACACCCTACAGTAATATCAGATACAAAAAGCTTAACTGAGCAAACTCCAGTGAACTGAAGATTCAGTTTCAGTTTCAAAACTATGAAAACTAGTATTTTGGGGGAAGAAATTGAGGACATGAAAATTTATATACATTTTGAGAAGAGTAGTGGAGATCTCAAGTAGTCAACATTGGATGGAACTACACAGACAACAATAACTTTACATTAAAAAAAATGCAATAACCATTATTAAAGACCATCAATGGAGAAACACATCATCATGCCAATTTATTTCTTAAACATTTCCCTTTGTTCACAGAAGGGAAATCTCCTTTTCTCTGTCTAAAAACCAAAGAGATGCAGTAGTCCTCAAATTTATCCAGTTGTGAAACAGCGTTTAATACAACCTTCCTCTAATCTCAATTTCATATTTAAGGCAAATGCACAGTATGAGTCATACAGAATTCAATTTTGGCCTCAGCATGAATAAAAGTGAAACTGATTAATACCTATCTGTTTTGTGCATGAAGACTAAGACCTTAGAGAATTTCAATGGGTGCATAAACATACAGCAACCTACCACCAACTAAAATGTTAACAAACTTTATTTTATAGATAAATGTATACATTTATTTTTATACTTCACTTTTCGCTTGAAAGTCACTTAAACGAGCACTGTACGTGAGGGTAGGATGTAACCAATTTAAGATTCTCTCTTGCATAAATCATTCTTGTAGCATTTATGTCAGTTTTGAATAAAAAAAGATACAATCCATGATTATCATAATTATGCAGAAAATTACATGAAAGAAAGTGCCTTTCACTGGGTGGGTAACAGTTTTCCACAGGAGTGAAGAGGATAATTGCATGAGGTAGTCATCTTATGACAGTATTTCAAAGACAACAGAAGACAAATCCCTCCTATTTCTGCAGCTTCTGTATTAAATCTTTCTTAATCTGTTCTGAAACAAGTTATACACAAAATTCTATCCTTGAGTTTGTCTCTAATAGCGAAGCAAATACACTTCCACTTGTACTAACCTGACCGCTGTGAAGTGTCGAGTCCCTCTCTTTCCAGAAGTGCTATGAGACCGTATCAGGCCCACTCAGTTTAGAGTCAGCAGAGACCATTTGAGAGAAGTTTGAAAACACCAGTGCAAAATGAACAGTTACCTGTAGTTCAGGGATTTGAGAATTTTCTTTATAAAAGAAACTGCTTGTATTGGGATGTTTCAGAAAAATTTTCATCCTGTTAGTCTTTCATTTTATTGTCTCATTCTTGTTAATTTCCTCTCCCTGTATATGTAACATTTTAGGCTCTTCTGCTTTAAAAAATCTCTTCATTTGCCAGAATGTATAAGCAAATGTCTTCATTAAAGTGTTTTCGTTCCCTCTTTGCCAAAGGAGGATATACAGATTTGTTTCAAGGCAGAGGATCAACTGGTTTTGGATGCTTTGCTTTAGTTTAACTGCTCATAAACCACTCTAGTAATACCCAAGAACAGTTGTCAAGTTTCCAAGGCTTATCTTTTAAGAATACAAACATGTTACACTACTGTGACTGAAACACTGACTGATTAGTTTGAGTACCATTTAGCTTGTATAATGGTAAATAATGCTGTTTGTAAGCACTGATAAATAGTATATCCAGAATGTGTAACAGGAAAAGATCACAACAGATTTTTTCCTAGCAATTATTCTAAGAGTAAAACATTGAATATCTGAAATGACATTGCGCTCAATCCTGTTTGTCTTATTATGTAACAGAGATTAGCATCAGGAAAGGTCAGCAGAGGGCAATTGACTAATTGAGGGAATTTATTTTAAAAAGTTAAAAAACTAAACATGTAGTCTTTGAAAGTGAAGAAAGTAAGTATGACCTCAGTAAGGTCTAGTAAAATTCTGAGGGGAACAGAAATGGAAGATAACAACAAGACTACTTGATCTTTATGTCAGTACAAGAACTAGTCACGTAAACTCAAGCTAAGTAAAGGTCAAGACCTAAAGGAATATCTTATATCCAGAGAATAGTTAACTGAAGTAAGTTATGTGCATTTATTTCAGTGTCTGAATGATTTAAATAGATGCAGACACATTTATTTCTGATCTCTCTGGAACGCAGCATGGAAATACACGTTCTTTCGTTAATGAAAACTGAGATGAGCTTTGGTAAAACTTAGAGGATTTCACTAAGTGACAAACCTGTCTTTGACTTAAGAATGCTTCAAGGGTACATTTTCCTCCGAAGTTACCACCAACCATGCTACTAATCTTGGGTTTTTGCATTCTAAGTTTTTTAAAAGATCTTCATGCAAGAGCAGAAGCTTTTTGTGATGGGTGAGAACAGGTATTCTACTTCTTTTTGGACCTGCTAAATAAAAATACAATTCCTTGCTGAAAGAAGCATCACAGATTACTAGAATAAGTCCATTTTTAAAAAGTATTAAAAAAAAAGTTTCAGAAAAATGCCCAACATGTGAAGGCAGGATTTTTCTGTAATGCAGAAACTGCTCCAATGCTTCCTAGTTATACTTCCAATGAAGCTTAATAACAAGAAACTCACTAACCTCAGTTAGAAGAGTTAGGCCACTTTGGAGTCCTTTGAAAAACTGCACATAGTATTTATGACTTGATGCTCAACCATGCATTGGTCAAATGACTTCTGTGATTGTAATGGTTAGGGCTAAACAAAGCATGGGTATGAATAAGAAAGAAAATATACTCTCTTCTACCTGCCGTGCTTTATGTGCTGACATAATGCCATGATTTCTTAGACAGCTTAAAGCCCTTGCATCTGGGGAGCGCCCCACGTTCCAGTCTGAAACAGCAGCACTGTCTGTCATCCACTGCAACAACAAAACAAATACACACACATATTTAAAGAAAATTAAAGTACAGTACCTGCCTGGCAATATGATTCATGGTAATGCCATGCTTCTTCATGCAAGTCTGTCCTCGATAGTCAGGAGGGCTTCCTATTTCATAGGTAGATGTCGCTGCACTGTCTATCCTCCACTACAGAAAAACAAATTTATATTTTTATGTTTCCTTTCTCACTGCTTATATTTCTACTAACTGGCTACGAGACAGTTATTTCTTAGGCAGGAACAGAAATAAATAGCTTACCTTATTTTCAACTTTTTCATCAGTTACAAGTTTTCTAAAAACTGCTTCAGCTATTGGAGAGCGACAAATGTTTCCTATAGAAACAGGAGATTAAAGTGAAATTTCAGATTATTAAAAACAAAAAAATCAATAACTGCGTGGATTTGTCAGCACAGATCAGATTAAAGATTTTTATTTACTTAGGTAGAATGTGGTTTACTTATGTTGTTATAACTCAAGAGATTCTGCAAGGGTAGAAACCCAGAGTCCTGCACCTGGGCTGGGGCAATCTCCAGTATCAATACAGACTGGGGGATAAGTGGATTGAGAGCAGCCCTGAGGAGAAGGACTTGGGAATACTGATGGGTGAAAAAATTGGGTATGAGCCAGCAACGTGCACTTGCAGCCCAGAAAACTAATCGTATCCTGGGCTGCATCAAAAGAAGCATGGCCAGCAGGCTGAGGGAGGCGATTCTGCCCCTCTCCTCTGCTCTGGTGAGACCCCACCTGGAGTACTGTGTCCAGCTCTGGAGCCCTCAGCACAGGAAAGACATGGACCTGTTGGAACAAGTCCAGAAGAGGCCACGAAAATGATCAGAGGGATGGAACTGAATGAAAACTCGGGTTGTGCAGCCTGGAAAAGAGAAGGACTGGGGAGATCTTATTGCAGCCTTTCAACATATAAAGGGGGCTATAGTGACAGGATAAGGGGCAATGGTTTTAAACTGAAAGAGGGTAGATTTATATTGGACATAAGGAAGAAAATTTTTTTACAATGAGGGTGGTGAGACACTGGAACAGATTGCCCAGAGAAGTTAGGGATGCTCCATCATTGGAAGTGTTCAAGGTCAGGCTGAATGGGGCTTTGAGCAACGTGATCTAGTTGAAGATGTCCCTGCCCATGGCAGGGAGGTTGGACTAGATGGTCTTTGAAGATCCCTCCCCACCCAAACCATTCTATGATTCTATACTATCTGTCAGTCTCTTGAAATGCCTATTATTACACGAAAAGATATAACATTAAAATACATAGAACGAGTATTGTGTAAGCACATTGCTCTTTTCTTCTCCTCCACAAAGAATCCGTGATCACAGAAGACCAGGCAAAATTATGGAATTTAAATGGCAGATAGCATTTTTACCTTCAAATCTTCCTACACATTGGCAAATTTCAACTAATTCTTTACTGGAGAATCATTAATATTTCCCTGAAATATTTACATTACTACCTACCTGCTAACAAAAACTTTTGGACAATTCCAAAACACAGCCACCACCACTGTGAAACCAATGTAGTGAAATGACCTAACAACCTGTAGTACAAATGCTCCTTACCACTGAAGTGAAGTCACTGCAGGTCAAACTGAACCCTCGTCAAAAGCAGCTTCCAGATACCAATTCCAAAACCCCCAAAAAGAAATCAATTACACAAGCTCTAAAGACACCTCAGGAAAATAAATTTTCCATTTTTTGGTCCAAAATATGGAGGATTAGGAACAAAACATAACTGATGGCAAAGCTGAAGTGCTGTCAATCAGCCAACAAACAGTTAAGGTACTTAATTATATAAATATGTAATCAGTCTTCCCTTCCAACGGCCTCCAATTGCACTAGCCACTTGATCTGAGCTTTTTTTCAATAAGAACCTATTTCAACAATGAAATAGTGCCCTGTTAAAAACTAGAAATAATGGATCTACAGCATTTTTGCTCCACTGCTGAAGCTGTAATTAAGTTAACCATCTAAGGTAGACCTCTCAAACATGCATGCAAAAATACATACTCTTTGAAAAAGAATGAAATGTCTCAACAACAATAAAAAGTCTATTCAACTACTACTTGAACTCTTTCTACCTTTTCATCCTTCAAAAATTCTGAGCAACTAGATGGATATTCACAATATTTGATATGTCACCCAGATGCACAATAAATCATACAAACAATTCTTCACTTTCCATTAAAGAGAATGAATGACTTTGCTAATCTCTGACTTTTGAGCAGGTAAGTATAAAAGATCACAAATGGCAACACTCATTTCTAGACCTTTAAATAAATCATTCTTCTACTACTGGTTAAATTCTTTCCAGATCTCAAACAGTAAAAAAATGAAATGCCCATGAACAAAGCTAAATTTCCTCCGGCAGCAAAAAGACATTTTCAGATCAGGCACTTAGCCTCATTTTCATGCCTGTATTTTCAAACAAAATATCAAGGTAGATACTTCACTGCTAAAGAGAAAGAAGCTGCTATGATCTGGGCATTTAATAACTTGCTGTCAATCATGCCAACTATTAAAAAAAAAAAGTGGGAAGTGAACACTGAAGTAATATAAATTTGTTGTCAAAGATTTAGAGAACATCAAATCACTAAATGGGCAAAAGGAACTGGCTAACCATTGAGAAACTGATCTTGCTGAAACATTAAGTGAATTTTGATGGCAGCAGATCTTCTTCCAGGAGAAAGCACACTATTTCCTTTGTTTGAACAAGTTTATTCCAAGCAGAGAACCTAAATCGGTCTTGGAAGAAAAATAAAGCAGGAAAAAGTTGAGCTTATTTATAAAGTGGGTGAGAAAACAGGTTAGTACTTATTAATTATAAAAATGTTAAAGAATATGGTAATCAATTAAAAAAATAAATCTCACTTCTTTAACTGAGTAAGCAAGTTAAGCATTAAACTATAATTTTAATAGGAAACAGAGGAAACGTGGTAACATACAACATAAGACAGGAAAAAACCTTCACAATCCATGAACCCAATCCTTTGCTATTGCAGGCATATACAGCATCACTTCTCTTACAAACACATCAAGCTCTCTTCTAAAAAGCATCATCTATCTTAAAAGGCTATTCCAGATACTCATTTCTTGTGGCAGCCAGAAACATTCCAATTCCCACTTAATATTTATTCTTGGAAGTCTATGCTCATCTGATCTTGGTTAACATCACTCTCGATCTTAAAAACCTTTCTTTCCCTCAACAGATACAGAACTCTTGTCAAGCATAGCTGTGCTAAACTAAACAAACCAAGCTCTTAGTCTCCTGATGAAAATAACTGACCCTCAACTAATCACTCCAGTTAAGCCAACTCTGCGCTTGTTCAAATTTGAATTTATTTTTCTTGAATACTGACAAATAAAACCACAGACTACACTGCAGGAAAAGTTTTTACCGATTTGTTTTATAAAAGGAAAAAAAAAGTCTGAAATATTTACTGAGCTCTTTTGAAAATAACCTGAGAACTTCTACAATCACATTTGACTCCTTCATGAGTATCAAATTTGCGATCATAATCCCCTACTTCTAATTTGTTCATTCCCTCTCCTTCTCTGTTGTTTCAAACAGGTGACCTTTAAGTCTTCTTTCTAAACTATTAAGTTCTGTTTCCACTACACCAGCTGTCAAAGCCATCCACTTCTTCCTGTACAATAGTTTTCCTCTCTATGAATGATCCCGCGCAACTGTACATGAAGATTAAGTTTCGTTACTACACTCAAAATTTCAGTAATAAGCAATGATTAATACTATTGGTCCTACTAATTCATTAACTAGCTCCCAGAATTTCAAAATGCTGCTTTTGAAATAAATCCTTCATGACTTTTTCTATTTGTTTAACCTTCTGCTTTACCTGGATTGACTTGTTCCAAATTTTCACTCTTCTATAATGTGGTCACTACTTAAAATGAATGCCATAAATACCATCTTTAATGATATATAATATCATATATCATCATGAATGGCACCATGATCACTGACTGATTAAATATATTAACTACCACTTCTAGCAATAACTAGAAACTGCAGTTATATTCTGTTTGAAACAAACACATAACCTAGTTTGTGACTTAAAAATTAATGTCTGCCATGATGACACATTCCAGATATTACTGGAGGTATTAACACTATTACGGAACTGCAATCACCATTCAAATCTGTTCTTGGGGACTATGGACAGAATCCTAGAACTGACTTAACAGAAGCTCTTTTCTCCACATACTCTACAATATTGTTTTCAGCCTAACCAACTCTGTTTACCCATGCTATTCCTTGCAACTGTTATTATTCATCTAAGCATTAATGTAAAGCCCTATCTTATCTCACCGACACATGCAAACGTCAATCCTTGTTTTCCAGTCATCGTCCCTTTCCCACTATAATTTCTATCAATTTCATATCCAGTTTTATAACCCCCATCTGTCTTTCCAGGTTTTGTTGAGGTTCCTCACAGATGCACAGTATTTCCTAAGTTACAGATTGACAGCCATAATTGGGGAATGAAGGGGGAAATCTCACAAGAAGATTCATAGGAAGATCACCTTCCTCCTTGGACTTGAACCATATTTTCCTTAAATGTTATCTACACCTTATCTTTGCTACTTATCCTCCTCTGGTTGTTCCTTTCTCCTTTGTTGTATTTCTGACTGATCTGATCACGGTCTTTTTATGTAGAAGGTAACAGTATTGAAGTTCTCTGAATCTCTAACTTCTCCCTTAATTTTTTAAATTCCAAGCTCTTTAAGTTGTAGTGACATTTTCAATCATAGAAAACTAGTACCCAAGGTACCCAGACAGAGTCTGACCATTGAAATAAATCCTACAAACACCTCCAAATATGATGATTCAAGGACAGGAGAGTTAAATTTCAATCACGGAATCAATACTGTAACCATTTGTTGATCACTTTTATGGAGTCATGCTTTCTCACTCATTTTCTAGGGACAAGGACTCCACTGACTGTTCTCCAAGCCAATGCATAATTTTTTTGAGTTCTTGCTCCAGTCTCTGCATTAATCTTTGACCCATGCCCATACAGAAATGGAAGCGTTGCTTCTATTGACAGGAAAGACAACTTGAATCCATTTCATGCTCAGGTCCATAGCTCATCTCCAGGTACTGTTGATCTTACCACCTGTTCTCTCAATCGTTTTTGTATCTTCATTGTTCCTTATTCAGCTTTCTCTTTGAGACCTTCCCCAAATGCAAACAGATGCTTTTCACTTCTTCCTTTGTTTTTCTGTCTGTTGTTTGTAACAGAAGTTTTATTAGCTTTCATCCTCTCACATTTAAAAACCTGCTTTTAACTCTACTTATCTTTCCATGCATGGTCAGTTCACCTGAGTGACTCTAATACTGCTTCCCAGTATCATTTGCATCATCCATCAGGTCCCCTTCATAAGCAAGCGTTTAAAACTTACTACTCACTCTACTCCGTTCTCTACTCAAATTCCTGTCTGAACTTCATCATGATTCCTAGTTCTTTCCAATTAAATCTATCTTGTCATACTCAGCATTCAATTAGCTTTGTAAGGAACCATTCAAGGCTCTGATTTTAGTCCAGATTCCCTGGCCTTTCCATTCACAGTCAATTTCATTGAATATCTACACTCTTTATCTGAAACACCTAAGTATATAGCTACCTAAATGACATCATCTAACTTCCATACATCCCCCCACTACCAACACACAGTGGGATTTCTCTCAAAAGTCAAATATTAGCATATGTGTGTGTCTGTATATATCTCTAAGCAGAACTCAATTTTGACTCAAGATATCTAAATGGGGATGTCTACAAGAGCACTAGGTTTCAAAGTCCCTAGACAGTCAAGGTTTCATCAATGTAATCAATGTCAATAGCAATATGACTTGCCAGGATTCATGGTAGTCAAACCATGAGCTAATTAGCTGAATGTTCACATTTTAAAAATCTTTCCCTGCAGCAAGATTAATTATACTGAGTTATCAACTACTGGAACGTTATGCTTTTCTCAGCAACCTGAAGGTTCCCCAGTAAAAATTAAGTTTTCAACACATAAGCACCTACTCACAACAGACTCTTAACATTTTTAAGCATACATCTTAATCTTATTTTCCAATTCCAAGAACACTTGTACAACCATGCTTTCAACTCTCTAGTACTCCTGCATCATTCTGAAACACAGATTAAATAAAGCATTGTATTCTTACAGCCATCTTACCAATGCTGCGCAGAAGAAAGGTATTTTCCTTACATTTATCTAACATTCTCTTCTTTATGCAAAAAATGGCATTATTTCTCTTTGTCAGCTTGCTAAGAACCCTCATTACAGCAGCTGTTTTCCATGACTTCTTCAATGTCTCATCAACCTATTGCTTTCCCATCCAGCAGCTATAAATGGCATTTTGTCCCACAAAACCTTGTATTTGGCTATATCTAAACGCATATAATGGATTGTGACAACTGAACTAGGAAACTCAAATCTCACTGTAACCTTATTTCCTCATACCTAATAAATTAATTGTCATTTTCAGAATGATTTTATGCAATCTAGATCTCTGATGGCAATACTCATACTCAGTGGTTCACAAGCAGCATCAATTTTTTGAGGACCCAGCCAAACCCACTTTGCTTACTGTTCACCTGACTTACAACTGTTCCTCCATACATGGAGGAGATCAGTAATCCAGTGCCTGGTCTAAGATGCCCATGCAGCTTGTTATGTTATAGTGGACAAGTCATCAGAGAGAAAGAGGCTGAGTTATGTAACACAGCATCATATTACACTCATTTCTGGAGCTCAAACATTAATTAGACGAGCTACGCAAGTATAAAAAGCAAACTGCATTTTGGATCACCTCCAGTTTTAATTATTTCTTTGCCTTAAATGAAAAAAAAAAATCTTTCCCGGTGTTTTTTTATATACTGTAATTACATATGTTGCTGGGTGCTTCATTTATTTCTCAGTGAGGAACCCTTATCATTAACGTAGTTACGCACATTAACTAGATTGCATTTTGTTGTGTAATGAATATCTGCTTATCTTATTACAAACAAAAAACACAGTCAATAGATACTTCAGTAATAGGTTTCTTTCAAAATAACATAGAACGAAAATGTAATTTTTCATGAAGGCTTCTACTTTCATGGATCAGCTCTCACTGAACGTGGTAAACTTCAGAATTAATGTGCTTCATTAACCAGCACAGAATACTATAGATAAATGCAGTTCTAGAAATCTGTTTAGTAGTCTTTTCAACAATAACAATAGGTATTATTTCTAATAAAATTTAGGAGGAAAAAATTCTATTAAGGCGCAAGTATCACCCTTCAAGACTAACCAAAAAAAAAAAGCAAACTTAAAACAGGAAGAAGAAACAAGTTGCCATCAAAACTTAACTGAAAAGAGTATATATTTGACTGGAAAAAAGAAGTGCTTGTCACGTCAATTAGATTTTATCTCACAGGCCACATACCGTTATGGTTATTTTTTTTATAACCCAATAACATAGAAGAGGAAATTTAAAAGGTATTTACAACATTTGTTTAAAAAAATCCATCCCATTAACATCGGTCCTGACTTGTTCATCCTTTCCTCAAGCTTAATATTAATAATTTCACTCCATACCTAAATTATTATATTGTCTTCCACTAATAACAGTTCCTCAGAGACTCAACTGGATTAGGAACTTGTTACAGTGCAAATCACTGCCGTGGGCTTACAGACCCAAAAATACATAAGATCA